GATCAACAAAACCAAGAGATTGTTATTTGAAAGGATAAATAAGATTGATGAACCTCCAGCCAGGCTCATTAAGAAACAAACAGAGAGACACAAATAAACAAAATCAGAAACCAAAGAGGTGAAATAACAACAAACACTACCGAAATATGAAGGATTGTTACAAAATACTACGAACAACTCTATTCTAACAAACTGGACAACCTGGAGTTAATGGACATATTCATGGAAAAATATAATCTTCCAAAACTCAATCAGAAGGAATCTAAAAATTTCAATAGGCCTGTAACTATGGAAGTAATTGAAGCAGTCATCAAAAGGCTTCAGGTAAAAAAAGCCCAGAGCCAGATGGATTCATAGGAGTTTTAACAAATATTCAAGGAAGAATTAAAACCTATCTTCCTCAGACTATTACAAAAACCTCAAGAGGAAGGAACACTTCCAAGCTCCTTCTATGAAGCCACCATCACCCTAATACCAAAACAAGATAAAGAAAACACAATGAAAGATAATTACAGCCCAATATCCCTCATGAACATAGAGGCCAAAATCCTCAACAAATTTCTAGCAAATTGGTTCCAGCAGGACATCAGAAAGATCATACACCATGACCAAGTAGGATTTATCCCGGGAATGCAAGGATGGTACAATATCTGCAAATCAATAAATAAGATACATCACATAAACAAATTGAGAGATAAAATTCATATAGTCATTACACTTGATGCAGAAAAAGCATTTGATAAAATCCAAAACCCTTTCCTGATAAAAACTCTCAACAAGGTGGGAATAGAAGAATCATACCTCAATATAATAAAAGCTATATATGATAACCTCACAGCAAGCATCATACTCAATGGGCAAATCTAAAACCATTCCCTCAAAGAACAGAAACAAGACAGGGATGCCCACTCTCACCACTCCTGTTTGATATAGTACTGGAAGTACTAGCCATGGCAATTAGATAAGAAGAAGAAATAAAAGGTATCCAAATTGGGAAAAAAGAAGTAAAGTTGTCTTTATTTGCAGATGACATGATATTGTACATAAAAAACCCAAAAGACTCCACAAAAAACAACAACAACTAATGACTTAATAAGTGAATTCAGCAATGTAGCAGGATACAAAATTAATACCAAGAAAATCTATGGCATTTCTATACACCAATAGTGAACTTACTGAAACAGAGACTAAAAAATTAATCCCATTTATCATCACACCAAAAAAATTAGGATACCTAGGAATAAACTTAACTACGGAGGTAAAAGACCTATATGCAGATAACTACAGGGCACCGAAAAAAGAGACAGTGGAAGAAGTAAACAGATGGAAAATATATCATGTCCGTGGATTGGTAAAATCAACATCATCAAAATGTCCATACTGCCCAAAGCAATTTATAGGTTCAATGTACACCCCATTAAAATTCCAACAGCATATTTCACTGACCTAGAAAGAACTCTTCAAAAATTCATCTGGAACAGATAAAGACCTCAAATAGCCACAGCAATCCTGAGAAAGAAGAATAAAGTAGGACGGATCTCAATACCAGATTTAAGGCTGTATTACAAAGCCACTATTCTCAAAACAGCCTGGTACTGGCACAAGAACAGACATATAGATTAATGGAATAGAATAGAGAATCCAGATATCAAGCCAAACCTCTATACTCAATATTTGACAAATGAGGCATGAACATACAATGGAATCAAGACAGTCTCTTCAATAAATTGTGTTGGGAGAATTGGACAGATACATGCAAAAGAATGAAACTAGATCACCAACTTACACCATACACAAAAATAAACTCAAAATGGATACAAGACTTAAATATAAGATGGGGAACCATAAAAATACTAGAGGAATCCACAGGCAGCAAGATCTCAGAAATATGCCGAAAGAACTTCTTCACTGATACTGCCCCAAGGCCAATGGTAGCTAAAGAGAAAATAAACAAATGGGACTACATCAAAATAAAAAGCTTTTTTAGAGTATAAAAAAAAAATCCATCAATAAAACAACAAGATAGCCCACTGTATGGGAGAACATGTTTGCAAATGTTATCACTTATAAATGTTTAATCTCCTACATCTATAGACAGCTCATACAACTTAATAAAATGAAGATAAATGATCCAATTAAAAAAATGGGCAATGGACCTAAATAGAATACTCTCAAAAGAAGACAGAAGGAAGGCCAAGAATCACAGAAAAACATGCTCAAAGTCACTAATTATCCGAGACATGCAAATCAAAATGTCAATGCAATATCATCTCACACCTGTCTGAATGGCTATCATCAACAAATCAACAAACGGCAAGTGTTGGTGAGGATGTGGAGAAAAAGGGACCCTAGTGCACTTCTGGTGAGAATGCAGACTGGTGCAACCACTGTGGAGAACAGTATGGAGTTTCCTCAAAAAACTGAAAATGGAACTCCCATTTGATCGAGTAATCCCACTCCTAGGAATATATCCTAAGACACTAGAAACACCAATCAAAAAGGATATATGCAGCCCTATGTTCATAGCAGCACAATTTACAATAGCTAGGATTAGGAAACAGCTTAGGTGCCCATCAGCAGATTATTGGATCAAAAAAATATGGTGCATCTACACAATGGAATACTATGCTGCCATAAAAAGAAGGGATTCTTATAATTTGTAGCAACCTGTATGGAATTGAAGAACATCATGCTGAGTGAAATAAACCAGTCAATGAAAGAAAAACACCACATGATCTCACTCATTTATGGATAATCATGAACATTATATACTGATGAACAAAAAGATAGGTACAGAGTCAATAAAGCAACAAACAGACTGTCAAATTATAGTGGGGAGCGTAGGGATATATGGGAGAGACAAGAGATCAACTTGTATGCATGCATATAATCATAACCAATGAATGCAAAACTCTGGGGAGGGAGAGCATGTATGGGAGCGGGGGGGATTTTTAAGATATGTACACATATAATACCTTAATTAAAAAAAATAGAAAACAAAGATATTCTGCAGTGAAAACAAAAACAAAACAAAATAAATCAATAAATAACTTCCCTTACCTAGTGGAAGAAATAGACTTATGAGTCCAGGAAGCACAGAGAACCCCAAACAAAAGGAATCCAAAGAGGACCACACCAAGCCATCATAATTAAAATGCCAAGTGCTAAAGACAAAATATTAAAAGCAGCAAGAGAAAAACAGTTGATTACATACAAGGGTGCACCCATAGAATTGTCAGCTGATTTCTCAACAGAAACTATGCAGGCCAGACAGGAGTGGCAAGAAATAGTCAAAGTGATGAACAACAAGAACCTACAACCAAAATTACTCTACCCATTAAAGTTATCATTCAGAATTGAAGGTTAGATAAAGAGCTTCACAGATAAGAAAAAGCTAAAAGAGTTCGTCACCACTAAACCAGTATTATATGAAATGTTGAAAGGTATTCTTTAAGAAGAGGAAGAAGAAGAAAAAGGTAAAGATAAAAATTGTGAACAACAAATATCTATCCACAAGTGAATCTAAAAATCAAGTGAATAAAAAAATCTGATGAACAAAATAAACTGGTGAATATAATAGAATCAGGGGCATAGAAAAGTAGTGGACTGACAATTCTCATGCAGAAATAGATGTGGGGGGTTCAGGAAGTGAATGGACAAAAATCTTACACCTATGGATGAGGACAGTGTGGGGGAGGTAAGGGCAGAGGTGGGGTGGGAACTGGGTGGGGGGGGGGCTATGCAGGGAAATATAGGAACAATTTCAACAATTATGATTTATTAAATTTAAAAAATAATAATAAAGTCTAAATTCTAAAAAGTAAAAAAATATATATAAATAAAAATAAATAAATAAAAAGCAACCCATACCTGAACTGGGCACAAAAGGACAGCCTCAAAGTTTTAACAGTGTGCTGGATACTTAGAGCCAGGGGGAAAAAGGACTGCACAGATTTGCACACAGTGCCAGAGGGTCAAAGTCCCAAGTTCTTGCAGTTACTCTGGCTCTGTTTTTATTTTATTTATTCTCTTTAAATTCTTATTTTTTATTACAAAGCCCAGATCATAGGATCACCCAATTGGGGACACTCCAAGATAATGCAGGGGAAAGTTATTTTTGTGGAACTTGGGGATCAGAGCTGGGAATAATGATCAGAGAACCAGCTCTGGGAAGCCCATTCCCCCAAACCAGTATTAAGAGTTACAGGGAGCCAAAACTGATTTGGCTCAGTGGACAGAGCGTTGGCCTGTGGACTGAAAAGTCCCAGGTTCAATTCCGGTCAAGGGCATGTACCTTGGTTGCAGGCACATCTCCAGTAGGGAGTGTACAAGAGTGATCAATGATTCTGTCTCATCAATGTTTCTAACTCTACCCCTCTCCCTTTCTGTAAAAAATCAATAAAATATATTAAGAAAAAAAAAAAAAAGACTGACAGGGAAAACAAAATCTAAGCACTAGCTAGAGAGGACCTATAGACCTGGAAGTTGATCCAGAAACACTTCCACCCCAGGGGTTGAATCACAAATTGACTTTTGTTTAAACCCAAATAAAGGAGTATAAGAAACAAAGAAGTACTGCCTGTTTGAAAATCAGGACAGTGTCTTACAACACTGTAGAGCAGTAGAATGCAGGGAATGTTAATACTGTCCTGACTAGGAAATAGGCATGCCAAACAGAATAGTAGAGGAAGTGAATGACCTTCACAACTGCACACTTTTTTTTTCATCTTTTACTTAAGAAATTAATTTTTTTCCTCACTTGATTTTACCTTTTTAATTATCACATTTTATTTTTAATCAGTATTATTATTACTACTATTTTTTTCTTTTTTTAGTGTCATTTTATTTTCTCTCTATTTTATTTTGGGATTAGTGTTCTACATTCTATTTTCATCTTTCTTTTAGCATCATTTTACTCTATCTCAACTTTACCTTTTTCCAACACTATGTTCCTCACTTTTCCCCTTTTTGTGCCCTCTTTTTCTTACACTATTTTGCTTTAGATTTTCCCAATTTCTTCTTTTTATGCCCTGTTAAAAATTCATCCTACATATATATCTAATTTTCAATCCCCTGCTCTAAATCCATACACACCTTTTTTCTTCTTTCTTCCTTTTCCAAAATTTTTTTTTTATTTTTGTCCTTTTGTTGTTTGCTTGATCGTTGATTATAATGGTTTTTTAATGCTTGTTTGTGAGATTGTTTCACTTTCTCTTTTTGCCTTTTGTTTTATCTGTTTGTCTTTTGCTTTTGTTTTTCCTTGTCTCACTTGATATTAGTTGTTATTTGTTGTTTGCTTTCATCTCTAGTTATTTGTTGCTTGCATTTGTTGGGATTATTGGCTGTTCTATTGGAGTTTTCTCCCATATTAATTGCTTTATTTTTCCCTCTTCTTTTTTATTCTCTTTCTTTTCACACTTATTTTTTTCCTTTTCTCAATTTCATTTTTGCAGTCCTTTTCTACCCTTCCCCCTTCTTTGTTTATTATCCCCTAATGCTATTTTGTCTCGTGGTCACATTTATTTGTGGTTACTAGTATAGTGAATACATTTGTGCTCAGTGCCTTCTGTTCTGTGCCTTGTTGTGTTGTATTTTTATGTCTTTAAAACAATGAAGGAGAGAAAGAACTACATAACCAAACACCCAGAAAAGAGAGATAATGCAGAGACAGCCTACATATGAAAGAAAAAGAGGCGTCACTAGAAAAGGAAATTAATGAAATGGAGGCAATCAACCTATCAGAGAAAGAATTCACATAAATAGTCATAAGGTGGAAGAAAATAATGGAATACAAATTCAAAAATATGTGTAAGAACCAAGAGTAAATGAATAAAAAACAAGAAGAAATGAAAAATGACATTTCTGCTCTAAAGAACTCAATAGAAAGCATCAAAAGTAGACTAGAAGAAGCATAGGACCACATCAGAGAGCTAAAATACAAGGTAGGAAAAAAATACCCTAGCAGAACAGCATAAAAAAACAAACAAAACAACAACAAAAAAACACAACAAAAAACAAAACAACAACAACAACAAAAAAACACAAAAAACAAAAAACAAAAAAAAAAAAAACAAAAAAAACAGGAGGAAAGCCTAAGGTAACTTTGGGACAAAACTAAAAGAAACAGCCAAAACCGGTATGGTTCAGTGGATTGAGCATTGGTCTGTGGACTGAAGCATCCTAAGATCCATTCTGGTCAAGGGCATGTGCATTCGTTGTGGGCACATTCCCACTGCGGGGGGCGGGGTGTGCAGGAGGCAGCAATTTGATGTTTCTCTCTCATTGATGTTTCTAGTTCTCTACCCCTCTCCCTTCGTTTCTGTAGAAAAATCAATAAAATATATTTTTAAGAAAGCAACAAAACAACATTTACACAAAGGAATGCCAGAAGGAGAGGAAACTGGGCAAGGAATAGAAAACCATTTTGAAGAAATAATGACAGAAAACTTCCCTGATTTAGGGAACAAAAACTCACACAAATTGAAGAAGCTCACAAAGTCCCAAACAAATGAATCCCAAGAAACAAATGCCATGACACATTATAATTAAATTGGCCAACATCAACGACAAAGTAAGAATCTTAAAAGTGGCCTCCTAGAGACAGAAAATTATCTAACAATGATCCCCAAACAAACCAGCGACTGATTTCTAAACAGAAACACATTAGGCCAGAAAGGAATGGAATGAAGTATACAAAGTAATGCAAAGGAAGGTTCTGAATCCAAGAAGGCTGTATCCAGCACGGCATTCAATAAAAATTGAAGGTGAAATCAGGAGCTTCACAGACAAACAAAACAAAACAAAGGTGGTTTATTACCACCAAACCAGCAATGCAAAAAAAGCTAAAAGGTCTGCTGTAAAAGAAAGAAATAGGAAGAGAAGAAGGGACACAGGGGTAAAGAATAAAAATGATGACAAACTAGTACCTATCAATAATAACTTTAAATGTAAAAGGATTAAATGCCCCAATCAAAAGACAAAGGGGAACTGAGTGGTTAAGAAAACGTGACCCATATATCTGCTGTTTACAGGAAACACCTCAAGGGGGGCAGGGGGCGGAAAGTCGCACACAGACTGATGGTGAAGGGATGGAGAAAGGTTTTTCAAGCGAATGGAAATATTAAAAAAAAGGTAGGATAGCAATACCTATTCTGACAAATTAGATCTCAAAGTGAAATAAATAACAAGAGATAAGGAAGACCCCTTCATATTACTAAAGAGAGCAATCCAACAAGAAGTAATAAATCTGGTAAACATATACTCACCCAATACAGGAACAACCAAATACATAAAAAAGAAAAAGAAAAAGAAAACACTTCAGGAGGATATTAAGAGATATATTGATAGCAATAAAATAATAGTAGGGGACTTTAATACCCTAGTATAATCATTGGACACATTCTCTAAACAAAAAATTAGCAAAAAGACATTTACCATTTAGCATCACACCTAAATGACTCACTTTATCAGATGTAATTAATTGAAATCTTCAGGACATTTCACCACAATGCCAAAGAATATACATTCTTCTCAAGTGCACATGGGTCATTTTCAAAGATAGACCATTATTGGGTCACAGGAAAAGTCTCTTCAAATTCAAAATGATAGAAATCATATCAAGCATCTTCTCAGTTCACAATGGCATAAAACTGAAAATCAACTACAATAAAAACAATCCAAAAAATCAAACACCTGGAGACTAAACAGCATGCTATTAAGCAATGACTGGGTTACCAAAGAGATCAAAGAAGAAATGAAAAAGCATCATGGTGACAAAACAAAAAATTGCAATATCTATTAGACACAGCAAAAGTAGTCTTGAGAGGGAATTTCATAGCTTTGCAAGTCTACTTCAATAAACAAGAAAAAAAATGGTAATAAATTATCTATACCTACAAATCAAAGAGAAAGAGAGCAACAAGAAAAGCCCAGGGTAAGGAGAAGGAAGGAAATACTAAAGACCAGAATGGAGATAAAAGACATAGAGAAAAAAAAATACAAAAGATCATCAAAACCAAGAGCTGGTCCTTTGAAAGGATAAACAAGATTGATGAACCTCTAGCCAGGATCACCAAGAAGCAAAGAGAGAGGTCGCAATAAACAAAATTATAAATGAAAGAGGAGAAATAACAGAACCCACCGAAATACAGAGGATTGTTAAAAAAAAAAATACTATAAACAACTCTATTCCAACAAACTGGACAACCTGGAGGAAATGTACATGTTCCTGGAAAAATGCAACCTTCCAAAACTCAATCAGCAAGAATGTAAACATCTCAATAGGCCAATAACTATGGAAGAAATTGAAGCTGTCATCAAAAAGTTTCTTGTAAATAAAACTCCAGGGACAGATGGCTTCACAGGGAGTTTTACCAAAAATTCAAGTAAGAAATAAAACCTATCCTCCCCTGTCTATTCCAAAAAATTCAAGAGGAAGGAACATGTCCAAGCTCATTCAATGAAATCAACATCACCCTAATACCAAAACCAGATAAAGACAACACAATGAAAGAGAATTATAGCCCAATATCCCTGATGAATATAGATTCCAAAATCTTTAACAAAATCCTAGCAAATCGTATCCAGCAGTACATCAGAAAGATCATACTGTATAACCAAGTAGAATTTATCCCAGTAATGCAAGGATGGTAAAATATCTGCAAATCAATTGATACATCACATAAACAAACTGTGAGATAAATATTACATAGTCATATCAATTGATGCAGAAAAAAACAAAAACATTTGACAAAATCCAACACCCTTTCTTGGAAATAACTCCCAACAAGGTGGGAATAGAAGAATCATGCCTCAACATAATGAAAGCCATATATGATAAACCAACCCACAGCCAACATCAAACTCAATGGGCAAAAACTAAAACCATTTCCCCTAAGAACAGGAACAAGACAGGGATGCCCACTCTCACCACTCTTATTCCACATAGTACTGAAAGTACTACCACTGGGATTAGACATGAAGAAGAAATAAAAGGCATCCAAATTAGAAAAGAAGTAAAACTGCCCTTATTTGCAAATGACATTATATTGTACATTAAAAACCCTAATGACTCCATAAAAATATTAGACTTAATAAATGAATTCAGAAATATAGCAGGATACAAAATTAATTCCAAGAAATATATGATATTTCCATCCACCATTAGTGAACTTACAGAAAGAGAAAGTATTGTAAAAAAGCAATCCCATTTACCATGGGACCAAACAAAATTAAGATACCTAGAAATAAACTTAACTAAGGAGGTAAAAGACCTATACTTGGAAAACTACAGGGCATTAAAAAAATAGAGAAAGATATAAATAGATGGAAGAACATACTATATTCAAGTATTGGTAGAATCAACATAATAAAAATTAAATACTACCCAAAGCACTCTATAGATTCAATGCACTCCCCATTAAAATCCAATGGCATATTTCACAGGCCTAGAAAGAACTCTCCAAAAATTTATCTGGAATAAAAAAAGACCCCAAAAAGGTGCAGCAATCTTGAGAAAAAAGAATAAGTGGGAAGGATCTCAATATCAGATTTCAAGCTGTACTACAAAGCCACTGTTCTCAAAACAGCCTGGTACTGGCACAAGAACAGACGTATATTCCCATGGAATAGAATCGAGAACCCAGATATCAACCCAAACCGCAATGTTCAATTAATATTTGACAAAGGAGGCATGAACATACAATGGAGTTAAGAGTTTCTTCAATAAATTGTGTTGGGAAAATTGGACAGATATATGCAATAGATGAAACTAGACTACCAACTTATACTGCACACAAAATAAACTCAAAATGGATTGCTTGCGAACATCCTACATGGGTGCACCAGGGGTTGGAAAAAACTCACTGGGCAAAGAACTTACAGAAAGATCAGGACTGAAATAATTTAATGTGGGTGATTTATCTAGAGAAGTCTGATCACTGGATATCATGGAGTCTGGCAAGATAGCTTCTCCCAAAAGCATGCTGAAAGATGCACAGATGATGGCACAAATCCTGACAGATATGGGGATTACAGAATATGAGCCAAGAGTTATAAATCAGATGTTGGAGTTTTCCTTCTGATATATAACCACAATTCTAGATGATGCAAAAATTTATTCAAGCCATGTTAAGAAAACTACCATTGTTGCAGATGATGTGTGATTGGCAATCCAGTGTCCTGCTGACCAGTCTTTTACCTCTCTTCCCCCAAGAGATTTTTTTTTTATTAGCTATTTCAAGGCAAAGAAATTAAACCCCATTGCCATTGATCAAGCCATATTCAGGTCCTAGATTGCCACCTGATAGATATTGCTTGACTGCTCCAAACTATAGACTTAAATCTTTACAAAAAAAAGTCTTCTACTTCTGTGGGAAGAATAACAGTTCCACGGGAAAGTGTTGGTTCAGTTACTAGTAGACCAAATACTCGCACACTTGGCACAACAACCCCCAAAACCGTGTCAGTTTCAACTAAAGTAGGGACTCCAATGTCCCTCTCAGGGCAAAGGTTTCAGTACAGATGCCCACTTCACAGTCCCCAGCTGTAAACCCATCAATTCTTACAACATCAGCTGTTCATAATGTTCTGATTAATCCATCATTAATTGGGTCCAAAAACATTCTTATTACCACTAACATGGTGTCATCACAAAATGCTGCCAATGAATCAACAAATGCTTTGAAAAGAAAACGTTAAGATGATGATGACTATGATAATTTGTAATTTAGCCTTGATGTGTAACATGTATACTTGATTTTTAATTCACTGTACTGAGATTAAACATGCATGCCAGATGTTTTCAAGTTGTGTTTTAGAAAACTTAGTATTTAATAAGAAAATATAGCTATAGTTTTTAATTGAGATGTTGTATTTTCTTTATTAGAAATCATAATGTTTTTTTATCAGCCTTTAAGAAATAAAGTTGTCATTCATTAAAAAAAAAACAACCTCAAAATGGATAAAGGACTTAAACATAAGATGGGAAACCATAAAAATACTAGAGGAATCCACAGGCAGCGAAATCTCAGACATATGCCAAAACAATTTCTTCACCAATACCGCTCTTAGGGCAATGGAAACTAAAGAAAAAATAAACAAATGAGACTACATCAAAATAAAAATGTTGCACAGCAATATAAACCATCAACAAAACAGCAAGAAAGCCTACTCTATGGGAGAACATATTGGCCAATGTTTCCACCGATAAATGTTAAATCTCCAACATTTACAGGGGACTCATACAAATAAAAAAAAGGAAGATAAACAATCCAGTAGGAAAATGGGCAACATATTTAAATAGATACCTTTTGAAAGAAGACAGAAGGAATGCCAAGAGACATATGAAAACATGCTCAAAGTCACTAATTATTTGAGAGATGTAAATCAAAACAGCAATGTGATACCATCTCACACCTGTCAGAATGGCTATCATCAACACATCAACAAATGACAACTCCTGGTGAGGATGCGGAGAAAAAGAAACCCTTGTGTACTGCTGGTGAGAATGCAGACTGGTGCAGCCACTGTAGAAAACAGTATGGAGTTTCCTCAAAAACCTAAATATGAAATTGCCATTTGATCCAGTAATTTCACTCTGAGTAATATATTTCAAGAAATCATAAACACCAATCAGAGAAGATATAGGAACCCCTATGTTCATAGCAGCACAATTTACAGTAGCTAAGATTTGGAAACAACCAAAATGCACATCAACAGATGAGTGTATTAGAAAACTTTGGTACATCTACACAATGGAATACTATGCTGCTGTAAAAAGAAGGAATTCTTACCTTTTGCAACAGCATGGGTGGAACTGGAGAGCATTATGCTAAGTGAAATAAGCCAGGCAATGAAAGAAAAATACCACATGATCTCACTTATTTATGGAACATAAAGAACATAATCACCTGATGAATAAAAACATAGATACTGAGACAGTGAAGCATCAGACAGACTGTCAAATTATAGTGGGAAATCTGGGGAATTTTGGGGAGGGGGAAAAAGAGATCAACCAAAGGACTTGTATGCATGCATATAAGCACAACCAATGGACACAAGACACTAGGTGGATGGGATGCGGGCTTGTGCAAGGGGGTAGGGGATGCTGGGGGGAGGTCAATTGGATTAAAAAAAGGAGATATAATTACTATTATTTTTAATACTTTAAACAATAAAATAAAGTTTGAACAAAAATATATACTCTTATTTTATAAGTAGAGGCCAGTCCACAAAATTCATGCATGGGTTTGGGGAGCTCAGCACCATCTCCAATCCGGGACTCTTCTGTGGATGTATGACTGCTGGTTTAGGCCCTGTGGGATCAGGCCTTACCTGGCAGTCTGACTTCCCTCTCGCAATCCTGGACTACTGGCTCCTAATTGCTCATCTGCCTGCCTACCTGGTTATCTCTAACTGCTTCCCTGCCAATCTGATCACCCCTAATTGACCCCCATTGATAGGTAGCTCCCAACTGCCACCTCCCTGCTAACCTTGTAGCTCCTAGCTGTCCCCCCTTCAGGCCTGGTGACCCCTTATTGCCCCCTTTGCCCACCAGGTTTCTCCCAACTTCCCCACCCACTAGCTTAGTCACCCCTCACTGCCCACCTTCCAGCCTAATTACCCAGAACTGCATTTGCTTCTGACTAGTTGTCTCCAACTACACCTGTCTCACCAGCTGGGTTGCCCCTAACTGCCCCCCCGCCAGCTTGGTTGCCCCTAACTGTCCCCTCAACTGTTTGGTCACTGCATGGAGCCTTTTCATTCAGGTGCTTGGTTGTCCCTAACTTACCCCCCTGCTGGTTTGGTCTCCCCACACAGCCTGCTCATTCAGTCATTTGGTTGTCCCTCATTAAGCCCCTGCCAGCCTGGTCATAGGCAGCCACCTTGTGAGGGTGTGATGGTGAATTTGCATATTACATATTTATTATATATATAGCACGAAACACTCTTGTGTTGGAGAAAAAAATGAAGCTCCCATGTTTATAAAATAAAAACATAACACTAGAGATGGTTTATATCTCTGAAAATTGTTTGAAGTTATAAAAATGGCAAGTATTCTTTTAATTATTTCTTGTTGAAAGTAAGTTAATTTGGTTAACCTTCAAATTAACTTAGGGGAGGGATATTTATTTGTATTTATGCCTGTGGAGTATGGATGTAAGCTTGATTTATACATTAGCAATAACATATTCTCAATATACCCCTTTCTAACAAATCAACCCACCCACTTACAAATAAATGTATATTGTCTGCAAATTTAAACATGAATCTTTTACTTTTGACCATCTGATTATTGCTGTTGCTGCTGCTGTTATTAATATCATAAATTATTCATGTTTGGAAAGTGTTCTGATTATTAATTTGAAAAACTTAAAACACTGAAATAAAAAAGATAATATATTCTAAACTTTGTGAAGTTTTAATTTAAAGAACCCACAGTGTTGACTAGAGAACTTGGCTCCCTTTAATTTTAACTGTAGAATAGAAAAAGGGATGAAAACATATCTTCTTACAATTTACCTTAGCATCTATATTCAGAAAGCATCAAGGATACTAAAAACAAAAACTGCCCTTCATTTTATGTTCATAAAATTAAATAAAATGGTATAGAGCCTCCTAAAATATATTTGGAGGGGATTAAAGGGAAAAATTGTAGAAAAATTATGATAATAAAATAAGATGCAAGAACAAATAATCAGTCAATAATTCTTCACTCTTTAAAACTAAACTATGATATATTAGTAAGAAGTGAGATCAAGAAAACATAAAACCATTTTTTACTGCAGTAGAGTATTCCATTATGTACATATACCACAGTTTTTTAATCTACTCTTCTGCTGATGGGCACTTAGGAGGTTTCCAAATATTAGCTACGGTGAATTGTGCTGTTATGAACATAGGGATGCATATATCCTTTCTGATTCATGTTTCT